TTCACTCCGTCACCACTGATAAGTTAAAATAATGGGATTAAATATAATTGGATTGGAAGAATTTTCATTATTTTTGGAGTCATGAATGTTGAGGACTGATCACCCTTGTATCATTCAAACTCTTTTAGAATTATTTGAATTGTGCACAAATGTTTTTCCAAGTGGCGTAATAAGACCTAAGAAGCAATAAATCGTATAAGTCTTGATGCCGGATGGTGAGCTTAAGGAAAGCAACAGACCATACCTAAGACACCTATAAGTGTATAAACTGAGGTGTTGGATGTCTCTCCTGTCAAAAGAATAAGGCCGTATCAATAAGACCTGAAAAATTAGACAGTATCAATAAGACCTGTACTTGCAGGTAATAAGACCAATAAAATTGACAATAAATCCTATATAGATAAAAATTTATCCAATAATAAATTTTGAAATATAAAATTTGACAAAAGATCAATATTGAAAATATTATATAAAGGCTGAGAAAAGACTTTACTAAAAATCAGAACAAAAATAGTGAAAGTATAAAATAAAATTTGTAGAATTAAATCTGGATTACTCATATAAACCAAAGAGATACATACCTATTAAACAAACAACAAAATCAAAACCAAGTCTTAAACAATTGATAGAAGAAGTGGATCAAATAAAACATAACTTAAATTTTGTTGAAAGTCCTCAAACAGTAATACCATATTCTATTGAAACACCAAGTGAAAGTCCAGTTGAAGAATACTATTCAGGAATAGAAAGACTTGAAGAAGAATTTCAGAAATTTGATAAAGAAAGACTACAATTAATTGAAGAATCAAGAGAAGTCAAAGTGGCAGAAGATCAAGGTAATAACATTCTGGATAACAACCTAGAATTAGAAGAATCAGAAGAAGAAGAACAAGAAATCAACAACAATAATTTGGAAGAAAGAATGGCAAACCAAATATTATTCAAACCAAAAATATTTTATGGGGATGAAAAGGAAGATCCAGTAGAATGGATGAGTGAATTTAAAAAGGCTGCAAGAATTAATAGATGGGAAACAGATGCACAAAAGAGAAATGCCATGGAAATATACTTGAAAGAAGATGCTGAAGAATGGTGGTTAGAATTAATGGATGTGGAAGGAGATCATGAACCAACTTAAGCTGAAATGGAAGAATCATTTTGGAATACATTTAACAATAGAAGATGGAAGAATAAAGCTTTGAGTGAATTAAATAATTTAAGGATAAGAAGAAATGAATCTATATGAGCTTATGCTGGACAATTCAAGAAAATTTGCAAAAGAATTGATGATTTAACTCCAGAAAGAAAGGCAGAATATTTCTTAAGAGGATTAACTCCAGAATTAGCTTCACTTGCATTGACTCATGAAAAAGAAACAGTGGAAGATATTGTTAATCTAATTGAAAAGTATGAGGAAGGAAGAGACATTACTAATAGAGTTGAACCCAAGATTAAAAAGAGAAAAGAAAAGAGATATGAAACAGAAACTGAATCTGAATCTGAAAGTGAGGAAGAAGTTAAAAGAAAAATTAAAAAGGATTACACTAAAGAAAAATTGAAAAAGAAAGAAGAAGAGAAAACTAAACCAGAGAATGATATAGAAGAGTTAACCAAAAAGATGGCCCAATTAAAAATTCAAATGGCAGGGATGAATAATCAAGGAAGGAATAATTACAATAATTATTTAAGAAATAATAATTATTTACCTAATTACAGATACAGAGAATCAAGATGTTTCAATTGTGAAAAATTAGGACATATTAGTAGAGATTGTAGACAACAAGTGCAGAGACCAAGACAGTGGGATCAAAACATTCCAAACAATTATAATCATAGCAATCACAATAATAATAATCATAACAATAATAATAATTTTAGAAATAATAATCAAAAGAATGATAATCAAAATGGACCAAAACTAAAACAACTGACCTATACAAATTATGCTAACACAAAAGATGATGATGATTTAAAGGATAAAGTAACTAAAAAATTGATTGAAATATTAGTTGGAAAATATGGAAGAGATAGTGATAGTGATGAAGATTTCCAAACTAAGAAACTAAGAACTGATAATATAATAAAAACAACTTATACACTTATGGAAATTCAACCAACAGAAACCTTGAAAACATTTGAAATTAAATCAACAAAGAATAACAAAAAAAAAATGAAACCAATTGCATGGAAGAAATCTGAAACAGTTGTTAAGAAAAACAAAAAGGAAGTGCCATTATTATTGAGAGAACCAGAATTTGATATTGTAAAATAATTAGAAAAACAAAAAGTAGAATTTACATTATCACAAGTATTGCAATTAGATTCAAAACAGAAAAAGAAATTATTGGAAGCATTAAGAAAGCCTAAAGAATTTGATGTTAAATTAGTGAGTCAAAATCTTATACCTAAAACTACTGTGTTGGAATGTCAAGTAGAAGTTGATGGAAATAATATATCAGCAATCATTGATAGTGGAGTAGCTACAAGTATTGTCACTAGAGATACAATTGAACAATTAGGGTATGAACTAGAGAAAGCATCAAATTGTGAAATAATAACTGCAACTGGTGAAAGAAGTAAATCATTAGAAAAAATTAGAGATTTTCCTATTACCATTAATGAAAAACAAATACCTATGGATATAGAAGTTATGGAAATAGATTTTTACCACTTATTATTAGGAAATAATTAAATGACAAAAACAGAAGCAATATATGATTGGAAAAATCAAGAACTAATAATTACATAAAGAAATGGAAAAACTACAGTAGATGTAGAGATGGTCGGCTCAATTAATATCAAGCTGACTCAATTAATTACACCCTGGTTAAATGATTTCATTTTGGCTAAATTCTGACTCAATTAATTGTGCCAGCTAAATTCCAGTTCAATTTAATTGTGTCAGCTAAATTTAAGTTCAATTTAATTGTGCCAACTAAATTTTAAATCAACATAACTATTAAAATTTCACTATAATTTTTAAAATTCTCATTCTCTCTCTCTTTCTCTCTCTCTCTTTCTCTCTCTTTCTTTCTCTCTCTCTCTCTCTCTCTTTCTCTCTCTCTCTCTCTCTCTCTCTTT